CTACACCAGCTACTGGTTTATGGAGCCACCGTGCAGATACGCTTGCTTGTTCTTTGGTGTACTGAAGAATGCTTGTTTTTGATGCGGTCAGACAGTAAAGTCTTATTAAAAATGGCCAACAGTCTAAGCACCTAGTGTAATCAAAACACTGAAGTTTTGCACATATTCAAAGAAAAGTCCAGTCAAAATTGGTGAAATCCTTCAGCCACCCTTCAACTGCTCATTGGAAACAGTGCACGTTTTTACTAACATGATTCAAGATAACCAGTGTGCCAAAGGTTTGTATTGCAAGGATTCTTAGGCTGCCCCAATCAGATTAAGAGCATTTCAAGACAGCTACAACAGCTGTTTGTGTGGATGGCAACTTAGATTGTCCACACTCAGCAAAAAGCTGAGGCAGTCAAAGGCAAATTAAGGCTGACTAGAGACAGAGAAGAGAATTCACTAACAGAGTCGGCAGAGAAACAGAAAAGAGCTACTGTGGAGATGACAACAGAACAGTCTGTGGTTTCTCTAAGGCAGTAGAAGTAAAACCCACAGCATTCCTGCACGAGGGCTTTTACTTAATGGCTGGTGATGGGCTAAAATCGGCTCACTAGAAATCTCAGATACTGTACATTCTCAAGTCATTATCATTTTTACCAGGAAGTATGGAGACACTGCAGCAGCATGTCACTGAAATAAGAACCTTTCCAAAAGCACCTACATGAAATAGTAGTATGCATCAACACAGACTGATGGAAGTGGAGCGTCTCACATAGCCATGGGGAGGTGATCTTGAGAAGCTCACTACATTTAATGGCTCATGAAACTGCCACAAAAGGAGAGATTTTTCTTTCCTTTAGGGTAAGGACAAACAGTGTTTTTAAAGTCGCAGGCCCAGGGAAGCAATCTGCACTTGCTATAGCAAAGGACTGAACAAATGCTTTGGAGCTTAGCGACACCACTTAATAGAACAGACCAAATTGAAGCCATAGCAATTGCAGATCACAACTCACCCTGTGATGCTAGATTACACTGCCTGAACAGAGAGAACTGTCTGCTGTTTGGGCTCACTTAGGTTATCCCACACCTTGCAATGAAGCCTTCATTCAATAGAACATACTGTCATTATGGCACCTGCACTAAAAGCTTCAATCCACAACCACAAGCTAGGTGCAAGCCCAGAGATTTGATTATAACCACCCACCACAAAGGGACACTCCTTTCTCCTAATTAAGCCCCTGTCCCTCTGAATGACCACCCGGTCTCTCTCACAAATAAAAGACAGTCTTCACAGTTATTTTCTATAGGCACTGTAACATTTTTTTTTTTTTTTTTTTAAGAGGGCCCTGCAATCAGCAGGCTTTCCCCTGTTCTAATCCAGAGTGTAGACAGGAAACTAAAGGTCACATTCCCCTGCCTCCAGGGGACAGCCTAGAAACTGACCTCAAGACCCACAGATAAAGTTTCTGTGCAGACTCCATTAGTGAAAGCAGACAGCTGTTCCTAATAAAATGCAATGCTAGATTTGCCACCAGGGGGGTTGAGGACTTTGTTGTGTGATCGTGGCCTTGGCCCTAGTCTGGGTTCATGATTATCAATCTTAGGTTCTGGCTCCTTGGGTTGCTCCTTTTTCTCAACTCTGTCTTCCACTTGCAGTTTGTTGTTTTCTGCAACTGTATGAAAAGGGAGGTTAGAACAATTGTTATATTGCTATGCAGTTAATAATGCTCTTTATCACCTGCGTTCTTCCTAACCTTCCACTCCCTTTCTTTTGGATCCAATCCCTTTCTCTGCTTGCTCTTCATTTGCTCAGAGAAGGGCAGTTATAAAAGAAGATGCAGTCTTCCTTTCTTTCACTGGAAAAAGGGGGTTTTGAGGAAGAATATCTCATTGCCAAATATGCACTACCTCTTTTAGTAACCTTACCAAAATTTTACTGCAAGGAATGGAATGCTGGGCAAGATTATTACACATACTAAACAATTATGGCTAATTACAACTGATACAACATGCCAACTTGTTACTGAGTTTGAGAGTATAATAGAAGTACTGATTTTGTTTTACATTGTTAATCCCAGAAAACATCAACCTGTGGAAAATCAATTATTATGTAGCCAGAATTTCACCCTACAATACAGAGGATGAGATTTCTTTATAACAGTTATGCATATATTACCCAAAAGGGATTTATTTCCCTACAATTCAAACAGTTTAGACCAGTGGTGCTCCTTTCCTTTTTCCCTAGCATGCTGAATGGGCTGTGCTCTTCATCTTTCCTCAGTGGGCCAGATGGGCAGTGCCACATCAGATCATGGGGAGAAGGGGTTGGGGGTCAGCCTGGCTTCCCAGCCCCGTGGGCAGGAGGGAGGGAGGCCCGGTTTCAACCCAGCCCTAGTGGGGGAAGGGAGCACAGCCTGTCTCTGACTGGGTGCACAGTGCTTGGGGTTTGGGCATTTGGCAGGCGGGAGCGTGGCTGTATTAATAGTTACTCCTCCCCTGCCACCAGATTTCATGACCACAGGGAGACCTGCAGGCCAGATGCAATGCCTCTGTGGACCACATCTGGCCCATAAGCTGGAGGGTGAACACCCTTGGTTTAGACACATAACCAGAACAGCTGAACTGCCTGAGCATGCTTGGAGGGGGAGCGGGGGCAGAGCCCCAGTGACAAGGACTATTTAAAAACAAAAAAACCTCTCTCCTGTAATACATCTGGTGGGATAATGGATGCCAGAAACAGACACTTCCTGTAACTAGATGCCCAACCAAGGTATAAAAACCTCATCTCAGTACCCTGCCTAGAGTCACCCAGTTCAGAAAATTGATATTCTATATTCCTCTATCCTTCCCTAAAGCAGCATTAGTTTTTATCCACACAAAGGGGAAGCAACACCAGGCTGTACAAAGTATTCTGAGATCTCAGACAGGTGGGAGATAGAGGTTTCCTTTGCCTCACCTTTTAGTTCCTGTGGTGCCTTCTCTTCTTTTAAGACAATACTATCCTGCAATAAAACCAAAATTAATTTAAAACTTCAAAGGCAAGAAATATTCCACCAGTTCAACAGTCTTTGAGGTCTTAGTCCTGAAAGGTAACCTTTTCTACAAGCAGACTGTGTGTTTTCTGCATTAAGAGGAAAATAGAGTTTCCCTTACCGGACCCTGTTGAAATCACTTTTATTTACAAAGTGGCAGTAGCATCAAGCTCTTTAAAGGAGCAGGAATCATTGTGCTCTTTGCAATACAGAGCTCTTCAGCTTATTGGGGCAACTCACCTGATAACACAGGAGCAAGATAAAACTGTGTTGCCCATGGATTTACATTAATTCAGACCTTCAAACTGCACCCTTCTTTACAAGTATCCTTTACAACTCAAGCAGCAGCAAGTGTTCTGACCTAAGGCAGAAGACTCTTTAGTACTACACTGGATAGTCTCAGGGTTTTTAAACCCATCTGGATTGAACCAGATGATTCATTAACTTTAACACCATTCTTTCATCCACGCAGACTAACCTGTTTTCAGGGACTATTTGATAACAAGTGAATGGTTACTTCCGAAGATCTTAAACATAAAACACTACAGCAGTCTGATCAACAATCTAGATAAAATGTTTACTTTATCAAGTAAAGTTTTACTGTAAAAGAAAGGGCTGAAGCTCAGGTAAAGCCACTAAAGAAAGGGCTGAAGGAGTGAAACTAGAAACTGTTTCAATTCAACACCCCTTGCTTATGTTACCCAGCTGTGATCCAAAGGTGAGAAACATAATCTGGTTACCCTTTCCTTGAAAGACTGATTACATTTCACAAGTTTGAATTGTAAGAGGGCCAACCCATGGATCTGCCTGCCGTCTGCTAAATGGAAGCAGCAGCAGAATCCCAATTAAAGAACCATGCACTGTAGTCCCTTCCTGTTCCCACTGCATTTGTGCTCCACCCAAAACTCAGTTCAAATTTCCCATGACATCTTCCCTACAGCTCTGTTCCAGAACCAACAAGCATGGTGCTGGGATAGTGCAGTGAAGCATAACCTCAGCAATGAGCTGGCCACCATTTTAGCAGATGCTTGAGAGACAGAAATGCCACCAATATTGTGGCTCACTGGATGCTTTGTTTCTAAGGCTCTCCATTTGTCGAGAACATTGACAATATGGTAATCACACCTTCAGCAGTAAAGTTGACTTGTGAACAGTTGCTAAGTTAAGATGTGGCAGTTAGTTCAATACAGAAGAACTTGGTAAGTAAGTGGTGATTTTATCCTCGTTTTCAAATAGTTTGGTCATAATTATGACCATTTGCACCAATTACGGTCACTCCTTTGAGACTGCGATAAATATTAACTAATATACTGAAGTGTATTTGAATCTGCAGACAACACAAAATTTAATGGCTGACATTTAATTGTTTCATTGCTGACCATCTTTGCAAAAGGTTAAATGAAAATACTTCACTGCTACTGGATACAGTTACATGTATTTGGATTAGATGAAGAGGGCAGGGGAGTTACATGAAGATTTTATATGAGATTCAGATCCCAGTCCTCCCCCACCTGCAAATCTGGTGTTATCAGTCCTTATTACCAAAAAAGCAAAAAAAAGCAGGCATTTAGAGAAGGAGCCCAACTCTTGTTGAATGTCAAAAGTCTGAAGTGCCTCCCAGTTGTGAAGGGAGTCTTTTATGTCCTAGCTGGGTGTAAAAATCCCTAACCATTCCCTACCCAACTGCTGAAGCCCTTGGCTTCCCCCACAATTCATGCTTCATAGTTCATAAGTTTCAGCATTCTACAGCACATTGACAGGAAGTTGCTTTGTTGCTGCCTCAAAACAATGAGCTGAAAGAAAACAGTCATAAAAGCAGTGCTGCCTTATTTTGGTTTACCCAATGCACAGGTTAGGCCTAGCATAGCAAAAGCTATAGAATTTTGTTCAGACCATTAGTTTTACCCGACTATAGGAAGTTCTATCATTAGCTAGTTTCTTCTGACCCGCTGCGAGAGCCAGGGAAGTAAAATACCTTGGGCTTGTTTGGGTGTGCTCGGACAACGCTGGCAGGCACTGGAGACCCAAAGATATCACTTGTCTTCCCACCAGGTGGATTTGTACGCTGACGAGCTTGAAGAGGGCTAGGCTCCTCAAAGATACCACTCTCTTTCCCCCCTGCAAGGTTGTTGTAAGAGTAAGTTACTTGGAGCAGCATGTAACTGTGCTATACTCTTTCTTTCTATTTCTCCAACTCATCAAGTTTTATCTGTCAAGGATGAGCCTGATACCCCCCTAAGTCCATAAATCCTGTAGTTTTATTTGCTTTTATGCAATTCAAGGGTTGAAGCCCTTTATTATGAAAACTCTTTCGGTGGTCTTGGAATTGCAGCTAGTATAGTGACTACTCAATCTCTATCACCATTTTAATTAGCTTCTGTAGGGTCCCTGGAACTAGTATACAGAAGACACAGGCTGAAAGTGATGTCTGTGTTAAGAAAGAGTGCTGTAATATTCTATAACAATTGGACAACATAATGGCACTGCCGAGGCCCTATAAAAGAATTACAATCCTCACTTCTGTTGGTGCAGACACCCTTAGATGCTATACAGTCATTTTATAATTTTAGGGATTTATATCTTAGGGTTTGCATGAAAGCATGCCTGTAAAATAGCCTTGTGTTTAAATTTTTTCAAGTTTCTCCAAATAAAATAAATTCAGCATAGTGATCTAATTTTACAGGGCATTCTAATTATTACTTTATCCAATACTGGATGAGAGATTTGAACACCGCCAGCTGGTGGTAACTTTAAAA